CATGGTCAGAAAATAACTTTAACACTTTTAGCTGAAATTAAAATACGATTACACGATGAAATTAAAAAAAAAAAAATGAAATCTCTCTACTAGATGTTATGAGTTTCGGTTCATAATTGCCTCTATCCCTCATATAACCCCTATTACAAAAAAACAGTTTATGGTTATAAAAATTATTTATAATTGAATTAAGTCCTTATTAAAGGCCCTATTCTAAATATCACCCTGAAGTTTATAGGAAAGGATTATTTGCATTTGGTGGTGGGTATATAAGATTCGGCATAGCCGATATTTCCTAACAAATATAGATTTAAGAGCAATAAATAGTAAAGTTAAAAGTATTTAGAAATTTTCACGTATGTTTTAATTATTATAGTTTTAAACAAGTTAGAGTGCTATATTCGGCTGAGCCGAATCTTAAATACCCTTCACCAGCTACGTTTATATTAATACTTTTTTAATTGATCAAATATTTGTAGAAATAAGTTTTCTCATGTCTTAAATAGAAAAACCCCAAGATTTAAACAGCTTATATCTGTTACCATTCCAAGATTTATTGAACATTATAAACCCCATTTTCTTATATATACAACTAGTTAAATGCTTTTAGGGGCAGGACCTAGTATGGAAGATATGACCAATAGCTCCCATCCCTTGGATGGGAGCTATGACCAATTATGTATATAAAGACAAAATTTCAAAATTCTGTATCTATATCATTATTTGGTAATGAATATTGTGCATTTAAGTGATTTTCTGGAGGGGACCTAGTATGAGAGCATGACCAAATATGGACCGATCGTAAACAATTTTATAGTGTAATTTATGTATATAAGAGCAATATTTGTGCTAAATGTATGGATATCAATATTTTGTAATGAGTTATGTGCGTTTAAGTGATTTTCAGGAAGGAACCCTTGTATGGGAGCTATGACCAAAGATGAACCGATCGTGAAAAAATTTTTAAATAACATTTCTGTGTACAAAAATAGTATGTATGCCAAATTTTTTATAGGTTCACTATTTGGTAATGAGTTATGTAACTTTAATTGTTTTTCTGAAAGGGACCTTGCATGGGAGCTGTGACCAATTATGGACCGATCGGAAAAAATTTCATAGTAATATTTCTGTATGTGAGAGCAATACTTGTACCAAATTTTATATGGATATCTTAATTTAGTAATGAGTTATGCGCGTTTAAGTGATTTTCGGGAGGGGACCTTGTATGGGAGCTATGACCAATTATGGACTGATCCAGAAAGTTTTTTCTCTCAATGAATTCTATTGATATAGGATTTTAATTAATTTTGTGAAGATATCATCATTCTGACGGAAGTTATTAACAAAAAACTCATTTTCCGGGAATATGTACTTTTGTATGGGAGGTACATGAAATTATGGACCGATTCTGGCAATTTTCAGCAGGAATCAATATATTGTATAGAAACGGATGTGTGATGACTTTCATGAAAGTATCTTGCATAGTTTTCGAGAAAATTACATCAGAATGTTTAAAAAATGCATATTTTTTTGGGAGTTATTATTTTGATTCATAACTTTTCCCGATGTGAACGGATTTTGCTCATTTTCAATACCAAACTGTACCGGATAATAATGAATATTTTGGCTGAATTTCCATTGCTTCGTTTTAACGTGAGAGTGTTTTAAACAGGCAGACAGACAGACAGACAGACAGACAGACAGACATTGTTGGGTCTCAGATGAATATTTCTTGGTGTTACACACGGAATGATAAACTTATATATACTCTCTATTACCATTTATGGCGGTGGAGGGTATAAAAATATCCAACAATTTTAAAATTTTATCGTGAATTAGTGCAAAATCATTTAGTCCTTTCCTTCTTTTTATACATCTTATATACAATGAATTTATAAAAAGAAGTAAAGGACCAGAAAGTAAGTAATTAAATTTTTGGACTAAATTAAATGTATCTTTCAATATGGTTATTCACATTTAATTGATTTTCGGATTATCTGGTCTCAGTAAATTATCAAGTCTCTCACAGAATTTCATTCCGATCGAAAGTGGAAGTAAAATACAGCTTTTCGCTTGTATTTTTTTTTATGCGTTTGTGCAGATATTTGTAACACCCAAAAATATTGGTCCTACCCACCTTATATAAGGTCAATTTCATATCAAGTGATCCAACTCATAAAATCGGTTTTGACGAAATTTGCACCAAGGTTAGTACTATTGGATAGTAGGTCTATCGGTCAAGAACTGCCGGAGTCAGAGGGGTTTTATACAAATGAGTGTAACTTTTCACCTATTGGTCCTAGCAAAATTGTGTAAAGGAGTTCGCATAGCTATTTGTTCATTGTTTCTAAAAAAATAAATTTAATTTTTTTTTAATAGGGCCTTTTTTGCTAAAAAGAAAGCTTATACAATTTCTTTTAAGAGCTTTATAGTCCCATAATGGAATGCCAGTGGGATATCTATCAAAAAAATTATTTTTTAACTCAAGAATAAATTTTTTTCGATATTAATTTGCTTAATTTTTCCCTATTTTTCCAAAATGGTAGCTTTTGTTGCCTTTTTTGCTTAAAAGAAAGCTTAGACTATTACCTTTAAGAGCATTCCCCTATTTTTCCAGAATGGTAGTTTATGTAGCCTTTTTTTGCTCAAAAGAAAGCTTAGACTATTACCTTTAAGAGCTTTGTGATTACTTTGTGACTGGCCTACTATCCCATAGTACTAAACTTGGTGAAAATTACATCCAAATCGGATGACATCGATTTTAAAAGTTGGGTCATTTGACACGAAATTCCTCATAAGTCAAAATTATACTGAATGGGTCTGTCTCATTTGACCCCAGCCCCCATACAAAGTAAGCCCCCTTCAGAAAATGGCTTGAAGGTCGAAATTACTATGCAATTATGTATCAATAACTTAAATGTAAACGTAAATCTTTCTACCAATACTTATAAGGATAGGAGAATAATTAACCTTGCCCCCATATAACCCCTTTTAGAAAATCTCTGTCTCATACTATTAAAATATTTCAAAAACAACAACTAACTAAATGTATGGTCGGCTATTCCAACTATATATTCTTACTTCTTTATACCCTACACAACTATAGTGGGCAGGGTATTATGCGTTTGTGCTGATGTTTGTAACACCCAAAAAAGTATACTAATCGGCTCAGAATCACTTCCTGAGTCGATTAAGCTATGTCCGTTTGATAATTTGTTGAAATTTCGAACATGGTCCAAGGACAAACGCTATTGAAAATGGTTGGAATCGGTTCATTATTTCACCTAGCCCCCATACAACCGGACCCCCCGAATATGGCTTTTGACCTCATAATTATGTTGAATGATCTACTATATATGTCTTAATAATTCTATCGATTTTCGTAAAGATCGGGCATTACTTGACCCTAGCCCCCTTATAAAGTCCCCTTCAGAAAAAGACATGAATGACCACAATTTACTTATAAACACTAATATCACGATGAAATATGGCACAAATAAGATTTATATAAACATAAGTTTTGGCCTAGCCCCCATACAAAGGACCTTCCGATTTTGCCTTTCGTCAAATATACCACTATTGGGCCTCATTTGACCCTAGCCCCCATACAAAGTTCCCTTTAGAATATTAGTTGAATTTCCAAAATTCATTATAAATAGTAGTATCACGATGAAATTAGGCACAAAAAAGTGTTATATAAACATAAATCCTGACATTAAATTGTATAAGCTCATAACTACGTCAAATATACTACTATTTTTCCAAAAATTAGTATAATTAAGTTTGATATAATTATAAATAACACTGTCGATTTTCGTAATTACCAGGTCTCATTTGACCCTAGCCCCTATACAAAGTCCTCTTCAGAAAATGACTTGAATGTCCAGATGTCCATAGTATTCCGATGAAATTTGACACAAATAAGTTTTATATAAACATAATTCGCAAAAATAAATTTTATAAGGATCGGCTCAATTTCTACCCTAGTCCCCATACAACCGGACCTTCCGATCTCTTAACTACGTCTAATATACATACTACTATCTATCCAACCAGTCGGTTCAGAATAATTTTTTGATTCGGTTAAGCTATGTCCGTCTTTGTGACCATGTAAACCTTGTGTGCACGCATAAACTTTCAATTTTCAATAAAATTTGTTAAAATTTGTCACATACTCTCTCTGGATACAATGACGAAGGCTGTTGAAAATTCTAGTCAGCATACAAGCGTACATCAACAGACGTTACTTGGAACCTATGTAAGATTCAACATAAATGCTTTATTATTGAAAATGAATCACATTGAATATTCGCAATTCGCCCGACTATAGTTTCTTACTTGTTATTCATTGCAATGGTACATATATTAGTATTTTTAACGCAGATACAGATTATATTATATTGTTACACCATTTATCTAGTAACCCTCTTTGGCCCATACTGCACTCTATCCGAAATTTCCGATAGAGTGGCTGGTCGTAATTATGAATATAATTTTAAACATGTAATAGAGTATAGTCAACAGTTGTGAGAATATTTGGATTGGTTTCGACAACTGATTTATGACGAATTTCATAGCGATATATATATAAGTCTATTATGGATGTTCAAGTCATTTCCGGAAGACGATTTTGTATGGGGGCTATGGGCAATTATGAACCGGTCATTACGAAAAACGGCTGCAAGTTTTTACGTCTGTAAATGTAAGCAAACCTGATTTTTGTAAACATAATTGTGAGGTAAAAAGTCCAAATCGGACGGTCCGATTGCAAGGGGAGGATAAATTGTAGTATAAATTAATATTCTAAAATTTTATATATTTCTTTTTAATAGATAATAACTAAACTATTTATACTCTTAATATTTAAAACCATTTTTTGAAAGCATTTTCACTTGTAATACTTACGTGAATTGTAGCGATTAAAAACGCTGTGTAAACGAATAATAACTTTAATTTCATAATAGGCTTATATATATTTTTGTTTTTCATTATCTCTCATTGTTTTTATTTATTTTGTTTCAATAATGTTGATTTTCATTAACTAATTCCACTTAACTAAAATATATGTTTGTATATTTTATCATCTTTATCTGTATCAATATCAATACAATCTTTATAATCATCAGTACAAACAACATACAAATACATGCTATCAGACCACCTACACACGAAACTAAATTAATGTATACGAACATATACTAAATATCTGTCTGTGTGTATGTTCTTTTACATGTATTTGCATGTACATAACAAACATAAATCATACTTATTTACTTACGCAGCTAATCCCTCCTTAAGTGTTAACTTAAATATGTATTCTAACGTTAATAACTCAACTCAACAAAACCCAACCCAAAATTCAACTTAAATGAACTAAAATTAATATAAAAATGTACTCGAAAAACTATACAAGTAGCTAACTTCGTCTCCATATGCTGCTCCTGCTGCCGCTTTCCATTTGCACGTAGTAACAGCAACCTGTATGCCACAAATACGCCAGAGTCATCATCATTAGAACATAAATTAAACGCCACACACTACAACTCACAGATTTTACAACTGCTGTGTATGTATATGTTTAGATGTGTTTTAATGAGTTTGGCATCCGAACCAAAATTGAAGAGATAAACAGAAAATGGGTGGGAGATAGAACAAATTAATATTTTGAAATTATTTTACTATGTTGTATATTGTATGCAATAGTAGTTGTAGAAGTTTGTATGCAACACTTACATTTAATATCAAATTGTGGTAGTTGAAATCTGTTAATACTGTTTGCACTGCTACTTCCTCCCAGTAGTCGTTGTTTGTTGCTTGTATCAGCCAGTGATAGGATTGTTGCACGTACACTCGTCGCGCGTCGCACACTTGCAATGCCCATGATATCGGCAACACATTTCAATTCTAAAACCTCACTCTTACCGATGAAACGCTGATCATCCACATAGATGCGTAATTGCAAATTGCTGGCCGATAAAAGGAAACCATCTGAGCTGCGTGAAATTTCATTGATTTGTGGTTGCAACGTTGTCATGGAAGCCTTTAATAGATACAGATAGATATCGAGATTATATATAAATTTATGCAGATGAGTGTTTGTTCAAGTATTATAGCCAAAATAGCAAATAATTCATAAGTAGATAGAAATGCGATAGTGATAAATGTGTGTGATTTTTTCATTTGTAAATAGTATTGTTATGCAATATGTATTGATTACAGATGTAAATTATGAACATGTATTTAAATATAAAATTAGAGTTAGTAGGGTATTACACGTTTCTGCTGATGTTTATATTGGCCAAAAAATAACGAAATACAACCTCTTTTTGAATCAATTTGACAATACCGGTCCATCTGCGTTGAAAGTATAGGTCATAATGTTAAACTTTTTAAATATACTCTTGGATTGCTCCGCTATATTTTCATATTTGTTAATAACGTAGATCTAGTTATTGATTTTATGCAAAAAACTCAAAATTTTCTCTATTGCATGCTAAAAGTTTCCTTTATTAAAACATTTAATAAATATTTTATCAAATTATTTTAAAGCCTTAAATATTTACCACTATTTAAAATAAATATTTATATTCTATATTTATGTAGTATATCCCTAAAAAGTCAAATAGCTAAATCTAAATTTAATTTTTCATTCAACATTTGTGGTTTAAAGTTCAACCTTTATTTCAAACTGCATGTTGCGAGCATTTAGCTTTTTATAATTTGTTGGTCTAAACAAGATTTTAAAAAATGCCAAAAAGTGAAGAAAAACTAACCAAAAACGCCATTTCCCAATTGCAGTTTTAATCAACATAAAATGTCAACGTTAAACACAAAAAGACACCCAACTAAACTGCAGCAGCAGGATAAACAACAAGAACAACATCACGCATTTCCCAGTATTTATGTGTCCGTCCATTTTGTTTAACAAAAACAAAATTGCACATGGTGCAATAAATCACAGATGCCAAATAGTACAAAAAAAATGAAAAATAAAGAAAAATTGCACAAAAACACACCGAAAACAGAAAAACTAAACTTTCGAAAAATACCCAATGATGGTTTAAATTGGTTTTCTACACAAACGCCAACAATCAAATGGGTAAATACCCAACATCATTACACCAACAAAACAAACCAAAAAAGTTAATAAATAGTAAAAAAATATGCACAACTACTACTGGCTGGGATATAAAAAAAAACTAAACAGTGTGGTTAAAAACTAGTTTAATTACAAATTTATTACAATAAAGATACTTTAAAGCTAGTTGTGACATTTAAAGTAATTTTTTGAAGGGGACTTTATATGAGGCGTAAGACAGATATATACATATATATGTATATAGCTAGATTGTCTTAGACCTTTTAAATGACCGAGAATATTACCTTTGTGGGTCTACGACCAATATTTCGTTGTGTTTCAAAAGGAATAACAAACTCAATATACTCCCAAATTTTTTTGATTACGACTATTGGGGTATTAAATTATTCAGGTTCTTCTCTTATTCGGTTTATTCGATAAATAATTATTTGAGCTGTTTAATAATTATACAAAAGGTCTAAAATATCTTGAAAATTGCGGCATTTAACTTGACCCCAAGGTTTACATGTACAGCCACACAGCAGGACAGATGGACGGGCATGCCTTAATCGACTCACAAGGTCATTCTGAAATCAGTAACACAATATTTTTGAATATTACAAAATATCAGCTGGAGGGTATTTAAGATTCGTTCACTAAGTAAAATTTTCAGTAATAAATAATAAAGATTCGAACTATTTTCTGTTACCCTGCTTTCAAAAAAATTTTATTAGAAAATTAAAAGTTTTTTTAAACAAAAAAGTTCCTTAATTTAAAATTTTTAAATTTTTGTTTTACCCTTCATTGCATGTACGTATGTATGTTTCTCTATTTCTATGATTCTAAATATGAATGTGATTTTGCACACAAAAAAGATATTATATCGTATTCGGTATAAATGGAATAATACGTATAATGTATGTATATGGATCTGTGTGTAAGCATATGATGATAAAAAATCCAAATAAACAAACATACCGTTTTATTGTTGATGTACCATGTAAGTGTTGCCGGAGGATTTGACCACTCTGAACTACAATTTAAGATAATGGAATCACCGTATCTGTAGGTATGCTGAAGACCACTGATAAATGGATCAAATTTTGGTAAAACTGTAATAAAACAATAAACAACAGTATCATATAACAATGGACAATAGAAAAAAACAAAAAAATATTTTAAATTTTAGACCAGTATTATATTTATGTATGTATGTATGTATGTATGTATGAATGTGTATGTAAGTATAACGTTTTTGTATACAAAAGAGAGCTTGTTTAAATGAAATCATGTAGAAAAGCTGGAGATATATTTAAACTATAATTTTGGTTACTTGTTTTAAAATTTTTGAATCATAAAGAGGAGTCGAGCGCATTTATTCATGTATAAGTATTCTACTGTTAGAGATACGAATTTTACTCTGTTAGACCAGAGGTCTTGAGTTCGAATCTCACCTGAGGCAAACTAACAACTAACTAACTAACTAACTAGCTAACAAACAAACTAACTAACTAACTAACTAACTAACTACTAACTAACTAACTAACTAACTAACTAACTAACTAACTAACTAACTAACTAACTAACTAACTAACTAACTAACTAACTACTAACTAACTAACTAACTAACTACTAACTAACTAACTAACTAACTAACTAACTAACTAACTAACTAACTAAACTAACTACTAACTAACTAACTAACTAACTAACTAACTAACTAACTAACTACTAACTAACTAACTAACTACTAACTAACTAACTACTACTAACTTAACTAACTAACTAACTAACTAACTAACTAACGAACTAACTAACTAACTAACTAACTAACTAACTAATAACTAACCTAACTACTAACTAACTAACTAACTAACTACTAACTAACTAACTACTAACTAACTAACTAACTAACTAACTAACTAACTAACTAACTAACTAACTAACTAACTAACTAACTAACTAACTAACTAACTAACTAACTAACTAACTACCTACTAACTAACTAACTAACTAACTAACTAACTAACTAACTAATAACTAACTAACTAACTAACTAACTAACTAACTAACTAACTAACTAACTAACTAACTAACTAACTAACTAACTAACTAACTAACTAACTAACTAACTAACTAACTAACTAACTAACTAACTACTAACTAACTACTAACTAACTAACTAACTAACTAACTAACTAACTAACTAACTAACTAACTAACTAACTAACTAACTAACTAACTAACTAACTACTAACTAACTAACTAACTAACTAACTAACTACTAACTAACTAACTAACTAACTACTAACTAACTAACTAACTAACTAACTAACTAACTAACTAACTAACTAACTACTAACTAACTAACTAACTAACTAACTAACTAACTACTAACTAACTAACTAACTAACTAACTAACTAACTACTAACTAACTAACTAACTAACTAACTAACTAACTAACTAACTAACTAACTAACTAACTAACTAACTAACTAACTAACTAACTAACTAACTAACTAACTAACTAACTAACTAACTACTAACTAACTAACTAACTAACTAACTACTACTAACTAACTAACTAACTAACTAACTAACTAACTAACTAACTAACTAACTAACTAACTAACTAACTAACTAACTAACTAACTAACTAACTACTAACTAACTAACTAACTAACTAACTAACTAACTAACTAACTAACTAACTAACTAACTAACTACTAACTAACTAACTAACTAACTAACTAACTAACTAACTAACTAACTAACTAACTAACTAACTAACTAACTAACTAACTAACTAACTAACTAACTAACTAACTAACTAACTAACTAACTAACTAACTAACTAACTAACTAACTAACTAACTAACTAACTAACTACTAACTAACTAACTAACTAACTAACTACTAACTAACTAACTAACTAACTAACTAACTAACTAACTACTAACTAACTAACTAACTACTAACTAACTAACTAACTAACTACTAACTAACTAACTAACTAACTAACTAACTAACTAACTAACTAACTAACTAACTAACTACTAACTAACTAACTAACTAACTAACTAACTAACTAACTAACTAACTAACTAACTAACTAACTAACTAACTAACTAACTAACTAACTACTAACTAACTACTAACTAACTACTAACTAACTAACTAACTAACTAACTAACTAACTAACTAACTAACTAACTAACTAACTAACTAACTAACTAACGAACTAACTAACTAAACTAACTAACTAACTAAGCTACAACTACTAACTAACTAACTAACTAACTACTAACTAACTAACTAACTAACTAACTAACTAACTAACTAACTAACTACTAACTAACTAACTAACTAACTACTAACTAATAACTAACTAAACTACTAACTAACTACTAACTAACTACCTAACTAACTAACTAACTAACTAACTAACTAACTAACTAACTAACTAACTAACTAACTAACTAACTAACTAACTAACTAACTAACTAAACTAACTAACTAACTAACTAACTAACTATGAATAATGCAAGCAATATTGCTTAGCATTATTCATAGATATTTCTAAAGTTTTCGATAAAGTCTGGCACGATGGACTAATACACAAAATTAACACATTACTACCTGCGAATGTTCACAAACTGCTTATAAATTACATATATGAAAGACCTTTTCAAATCAGATCTAAAGATGTGATCTCTTCATGTCGAAAAACATCTGCTGGAATACCCCAGGGGAGTAGTTTAGGTCCGTTCCTATATATTTTATATACTGCGCGCACTGACTCACACATCTACGTTTGCGGATGATACCGCTTTTGTAAGCATACATGATAACCCTTCAATAGCTTCTGAACAACTCCAGTTTCACATCGGCGAATTGGAAAAGTGGCTGGACAAATGGAAAATAAAGGTCAATGCAACAAAATGTACTCATGTTACATTTACTTTAAGACGGGAAAATTGTCCTCCCGTACAGGTAAACAATATAAAAATTTCTGAACAAAGCCATGTGAGATATCTTGGTATCCACCTTGATCGCCGCTTAACATGGACTCACCACATTGAAGCCAAGCTTACTTGGAGTAGAATGTGCTTTTGCACAAAACAGTTATAAAACCGATATGGCTATACGGCATTCAACTGTGGGGAACGGCCTCCTCCTCTAATGTTGAAAAATTACAAATAAAGCAATTAGCACTGTTAAGGTCAATAACAGGTGCCCCGTGGTACATTCGCAATAGTAATATTCATAGGGATCTCAATGTCCCCATAGTACGCAAGGAGATCAAATTCTCTTGTTTAACCTACTTGTCGAAACTAATGGATCACCCAAATCCCATTGCCAGGGAGTTGCTGTCATTTGAGGGTCATAGACGACTGAAAAGAACGGAAACATTGGATTTTGCCAGATAATCAAATTATCGAGAACTTTGGTTGAAATTGCAGCGAAAATAACAACATTAGTTATAATTTAGGTTAAGATTTTAATACTTATTGTAAATTTCCTTATAAGAAAGATTCAATAAAGAATAAAGAAAATTAAAAAATATTATAATACAAGTGAAAGTTTTATTCTCGCCCTTGCCGAATCTTATATACTCTTCACCATAGTGTGTTTAAAATAAGTTTAATTTTACAAAATTAAAATTTATTTTATACTAGATTTTTGTACCCGACGTTGCCCGGTGTTTTAAGTGGTTTCATAACATTATACTTAAGTATTCTCCCGTTAGAGTAAACTAAAAATGTGCTTTATGTCCATAGATCAATTTCTGAAATTTTTCAACATTCAGAAATATAAAAATTTCGTGGATTTAAATAACATAACATTGCATTTACGAAATGAAAAAATTTTACTCATTTTACTCCTCACTAAGAGATTACTTCACATTTTTTTTTCCAATTTACAAAGCTAAAAGATTCCAAAATTATAATTCTAATACTATCTAGTTAGGTAAAACTATAATATACATATTTAACTTAGGAGAAAGAATAATTCTTGACTTAAAGCATAAAGTAATAATTTTTCCCTAACTTAATCATGTTTCAAAAAATGCTGAAGGTCTCCTTATGAAGAAACTCCTTACAATTTCTTTGTGATCTTATAAAGTTATAAAAGAAATTTCATTGAATATTTATTATAAGTACCAACACAGTACCAAAAATACTACCCATACCTCTTTCTCCATGGAATTATTCAAATTTATGTATTTTGTTTAATATATTTTGTATCATTTTAGAAATCGATGTTGTAAAACATATATTAAGAAAATCACGCCAGAGAGGAACCTTTCCTTCTTTAATGATGTTTTGCAAAAACATTTTTGAAAAAAACATTTCTTGACCGATTACGGAAAAATATTAATAAAAAAATATAAATATTTCTCAAATTTCAGTACAAAAAAATGTAGCAAAGGAACACATAATTAGCCGTTTTTGTCTGTTTAGATTGAATTTCTTTTTCCTGTTTTTCCCTCTAGGGGTGGACTTTCGAATACACATATCTCTGAAACTAAAAACTCATCGTCTAAAATATTTTTACTTTAGAACGAAAAAAAAAAAAAAAAATCAGACTATAACATAGAAGTAAAAATTTGTCCTTTTTTTCGCATTTTCTCCTATTTCGAAACCGAACTTTGCCACATAATACATATTTCCGACACTTTAAAAGCTTAATCGGAAATGTTTTTGCTTGAGTATAGACAATAATTAGTATTTACACCCAAAAGTACGAATTTTGTCTCTTTTTCATCCACATACCCCTTCTTGTCCCTTCTTATCCAAGTTTTGGAAAACAATATAGTATATCACACCATATACCTATATATCTAACTACATATGTTTCAAATTAAGTGTAATTAAAAACATTATGCACACGCTACAGGTCGCAATTTGCAAGATAATTTGATGAAATTTGGCACATACTCTTCCAAGGACGAATCCTATTGAAAATTGTTAAAATCGGACCATTATTTCGCATAGCCCCCATACAATCGCACCCCCGAATATGGTTTTTGAGTTCATAAATATGTTAAATGTTCTTGTATCACACCAAAAATCGGCAAAACTAAGTTTTTTATAATTT